AGAGAGAGAGAGAGAGAGAGAGAGAGAGAGAACATGATATTATAATAGGAATGGGTAGGGCATAGAGGCTTTGGAGGCATTAAGGTTAGAAGATATGGATTTAAAGGTGGAGTTAAGAAATAAGGACTGGGAAGTGCAAAGGCAAATAGAGAAAAGCATGATAAGGGAAGTTAAATATAACAAGAAATATAAGGAACTGGAAAGAAGTTTAGAAAGACCCAAATATTTGAGGATGTTACACATGGAGAAAGGCAATTCAAGGGATCGTGTAAGGGCACTATTGAGAGTAAGATGCGAAAATATGGAGGCTAGGAATAAATATTGGTTAGAGGAGGAGGAGACAGTGTATGTTTTGCGGTCAAGGCAAAGACAATATACCTAAATCATTATGTAAAAGACTATGATACGACCAAAGATTGGTTTAAGATTTTAGGTAAGAATTATGTAGAAATAATTAATAAGATATGGAATGACGTGTTAGATAGTACAAAAAATGGGATACACTGAGAAAGCTCTGGAAAGAGAAGGAGAAAATAAAGGAAAGAAGAGTTAGATAAGGATAGGTACAGCTTAGAAGAATGATTGTGAGCGCGGAATTTATGGGTGTGTTAACCGAACGGTATACTTCTAAAAGTAACATAGATGGTACACTTGGGTGAGGCTAACCCGCCGTTTTCTTTTTACTATAATTTTTTATCAACTGCACATTTTAGGGCAAATTTTTTTTTAAATCGACAGTTTAGAATCTCAGGAACTTGAATATCCACGTTAGAAAGTAAAAAAAGTTTTTGGCACAGGAGCTATTTACAAAATATCGGGAAGATGTGGGATGGTTATTTTTGCAAAGGAGTTGTAGCTCAATAATCGAAATGCGCGTATTTTGCAAGCTCATAAATTAGTAAATAATATTTAGTCGCAAAATAATTAATTTTATTCATTTTAAGTACAGTTCTCTCTTGAGCCAGGAAGATGTGGGGTGGTTTTCTTGCAAAGGGGTTGTAGCTCAATAATCTAAATACACGTATTTTAAGAGTTTATTCATAGAATTTATACGCTATACGAATTATATCCGCGATACGATATATTTTAATTTTTCTCAACATATTTCTCTTGAGTTGCATCAATTAAAGGGTTGTTCGGGGATTAAGGAGGTGAGCTCAAAAATTGAAACTATATCACTTTGAAAACTCATAAATAACTCCTAATTCTGCTGCAAAGATCGATTCAATATTTCTATTTTTAAGTAGTCAACGTTGACTCAGCCCCCCCCCCCCCACAAAAAATATTAAATTCCTGCCCAGTGTGACGAGCTCAAAATTGTTAATCTGCGGGATATGAAAGCTCATAAATAGCTTGTAATTTTGCGTTATTTGTTTTTTTAATTTCTGCAAGGTGGGGGGACAGCTCAACAGGAGTCTTAAAAATTTTATTTTAATGAAAAGCTTATTTTTAATTTTTATACAATTACGCGTAGCAGCTGGCACATTCTTCCATTAATATTTATGGAATTATGCCTTTTTTACATTAAATTATTTAATTTATTTATTTTATCATATTTGTGTATAAAAATATTAAAGTAAAGACAACGAAAAATTAACTTTTTATGAGACTTTTTATATTTTATGTCAAAATATATATTTTTTAAGAAAAATATGTTTTTTTTACATTAATTGATTTGTATTGTTTGCAAAAATAAAAAGTAAGGAATTTGAATTATAAATACTTAACAAAATATTGTCACAATACTGTAACTTTCAAGCCTTGTAACTCGAAAAGTACTTAATGAAAAAATACTTAATTATAGTGTTTTGGAAAGCTCTCGACATATGCTATA